ATTCACAATATAATAGCTACAAGTAGGATACTTTTGAGTTTAAATTTTTAATATGTATTATTAACGTTTTTACTTTCATTATTCACTAGTGACATTTTCATTACATTTTAAAAGATAGACAATTAACAAAACAATAAATCAGCCCTGACTGGTGGTATTTGACAATTTCCATGGTATAAATATTTCCAGCACCATGTAATTGAATCTGTGGTGGGGACAAAGTGGGCATCAGTGTCCTATTACCCAGTATTTTCTCCCATTCAGATACAGCAGATGTAGTTAACCGCAAGAGTGAAATAACAATGGATGTAGTAAAATAATTAGGAAATTATGAGTTTCGAGTATTTATGACCATTTATTTATTTATTTATATTTATTTATTTATTTATACATACAAGAACTGGGGTATAGGCCAGAGGTGTGGGGGATGAGAGGACTCACCAGAGACAGAGTGGGGAACAAAGCAGGCAGACTGACTGAAATACACTGCTGAGGGGAGCAGCAGGTGAGTCAGGAGAGGTCTGCTGTGCCATGTGGGTCACCTCCCTGGCCGGCCGGTGATCGAACTCATCCTGCAGAGGCTTCACAGTGCTGCTTAACCCCTTGCACCCTTAGGGAAGCCCTATGGCCTTTATTTTAGAAAAAAATATGAACTTTATTTTTAATATAATGACTTTAGTTATAAGTTTCTATCAGTTAATATTTTAACAATGGTAGTATATAACAACTGATTTACAAAATTCATGGAAATTTAACAATCATGGCCCAGAATGATTCAGTAGAGTGGTACATCTGCCCATCTCAACAGCAACACATGTCCTCCCTTCTGTCCTGACTTCTGTGTCCTAGGATAACTCTGCTCTGACAGGCCATCTGGGATGACTGGAGCAAATGGCTTGCTTTAGTACTCCATACAAGTATTTCTCTTAGATTGGAAAACTTCTGAGTTATCATTGTATTTTAAAATGATTGACTTATAATTATTTTTATTTGGAAAATGTTTAGAGAAGAACAGTTATAGAATGTTTTCGTCTAGACTGCATAATTGAAAAGTAGCATTGGCAATCATGGGGCTGATTTAAATAATGTAGACAAGAAGCTGGACCGTACAAAGCCCAAACTTCTTGCGCTCATTCATGAATGCAGATTTTCAACAAAGTAATAGACATAATTATAGGATTTGTATAAGTAGTCTAGACCATTGGGATTATTGAACATAACATTCTTTTTTTTTTTAAGATTTATTTATTTATTTATACAAGAACCGGGGTACAGGCCAGATGCGCCGGATGTTGAGAGGATTCACCAGAGACAGAGAGGGGAGCAGAACAGGCAGACTGATGAAATACAGTGCTGAGGGGAGCAGTGGGCGAGACAGGAGAGGTCTGTTGCTCCATGTGGGACTCTCGGCCAGCCGGGATCGAACCAGCACTGCAGAGGCTGCGGACAGCTTAACAGTGCGGCGCTCAACCGCCTGCGCCACCAGGGGAGGCCCTGAACATAACATTCTTGATTACTCATTAGTGATCTCAAATGTACATGGTGTGTGGTAATATACAGTTTGTCTAAAGTGTGATTCTCAAACCCAAAGCTGAGCTGTGGTAGCAAGTTTCATAGGAAGTGAGTTCCAGCACCGATTCAATACCCTCCCCTCTTTGTTTATAGGCATCTAAGTTTATGAAGAAATGAACATCTTTTCACAAAAAAAGATAAACTGCTATTTCTAGTGTTGGATGTCTATGGAAAAGTTCCAAGACTAAGGAAGAAATGGCCTTTGTGCATGTCTTAAATGTTTCAGGATAAATTAAAAGACAGAGAACAACAATTCATAGATATATTTTGTCAGTGTTCTAAGTTTCAAACAACAAATCCCTTTCTGGTTAGTTTAAGCAAAACAAAAATTTATTATAAGATATTGTGTGGTCATAGGCTCTCTAGGAGAGCCAGGGAATCAGAGTTAGAGGCCTAAGGGACACTACTGATTGCTATGGATGCAGACACTATAACTTTACTGCTGATTCTGATCAATGGATACCAGAATGTTTACCAAGGCTGCCCCCAAATATTATGCCATCATGCTTACCAGAAGATGAATTATTCTTGCTGATGAATCCGCTATGTTCTCTTGTGAGTCTTAGATGTGTGGGTATTTCTTATTGGTAGATCTAAGATTATCTGTGCTATAGATACTAACTGCCTGGGAGAGTGGATTTCTGGCTTCTTCTTGTGGAAGTGTGACCATAAAGCTTGAAAACCTTCATATGCAGGAAGGATGTTCGAAAGTTTCAGAGTGGCCACAAAAAGTTACAGATTTATTGCACCAGAACTGAAAAGAGAAAAATGTTAAAGTAGATATACCACTGCATCTAAAGATATAGGACCTTCCTCTTCTCTTATTTGCAGTTATGGGGTTTCACAAGGCTCTAGGGTATGGTCTTTATGAATGTCAAAGGTTTTCAGCACTATGATTGTTCTTGTAAAAGGGACAATTTATATAAAGCACAAGAAGAATTGTCACTGGAATACTGGTGTCTATTTGGAATTTAATTGCATCTCAGAAGTTTAGTATTTGCAGAAAAATAGATAATATGTTAGCCCAGTTGGAGTATACCCTCAAATATTAACTCCAGATATTCTGAAAATGTGTTTAAAGTTGATTAATATTTTGACAGCATCTAGAAGATATTGGTAACTATTTGGTGTATGGGATAGTAATACATATTGTATGCAGGTTTTGCAATATGAAAGGGGTTTTATAAAAGTTGTTCTTTTGAACATCAAAGACTGTTAAGTGAAATACTATTTTCATTGTTACAATTTAGGAATCTAAGTCTCAAAGAGGTGAACCTTTTACTTTGTTTAAATCATATACATTTAAATGACTCGTGTCTTAAATCAGATTTTTAACTCTAAGTGTAGGAAGATAGCTGCCACAGAGAAGTGGATAAAGGCCCTTTGTCAAGCATAACAGTGAGAAAGCCATGCAGAGGGATTTTGAGATTTTCAGGAGCTTTTTTGGCTTCCCCAAATTTACCAGTTTTCTCACTAAGTATTTGATTCCACTAAAAGAATTCCAGTTTGGATTCCTCTGGGACCATACCTTGCTGGTTACAATTCTGCTATAAGGAGTAGCCTCCAGATTGCACAGACTTTTAAGCAATGAATTCACAGGTATTTGTTAAGTAGCTGTGAGCAAGGTCCTGTGTTGAATCTTTGCAAACACTCTTTCACCCCTCCATGCACAAGAACAGATTGTTCTTCCTCTTGTTTATGAGGGGACAGAAAGCCAAGTCAGGATCATCTGTCTGGCAAGTCTGCCACTAGTGGGATTATGAAGGTTCAATATTTGAACACAGATTATAATTCTAGTTTGGTGAGTTTCCTCCTGTAATTATAGTTAGTAATTTAATATTGGAACTTTCCTGGGTTTTAATTTGTTTAAAGATTTTTAGAGATAATTTCTTTGTTTCTGTCTCCCTACCTCCTTCTTTGTAGAGCTTCTGGCTAATGACTTGGCATCTTTTAATCTTTTTTTAGCTAATGATAATGCATAAAATTGTGCTTTCATAGTGTTGCCATAGAACTAATGGGATCTGACAGTGTATATATCTTATAACTAGTCTGTCAAGTAGGGTATATGGCATGCTAACATATCACCAATGCATGTATTTAAATATTTTTGGTCTTCAATAAATTAAAAAACTTCTCAATCACTCCTGTTCAATTCATTTCAGATTTACCTAGGCTAAATGATATGAATGGTTTTCTATCAAGTCAATAGGAAGGCAACACATTTTTTATGGGATATTTTAATATATATGAAATTATATTTAGTTTCAGATATTTCTTTTTATGTGTCAAACTAGAAGAAAACCAACATAAATTGTTGAAAAATGATAAGATTTTCCTTACTTTTATTAAGTAGTACCCTAACAATAATAGAAAAAGTAGCATAAATGTACTCTTACATCTTACACTTGAGTGAGATAAATCAGCACAAAACACAATAGCTTCTCATTGGTCTGGACTCTCCAGTTAATGAGAACAACCACAAAACATTCAGAACATTGGTTCTGGTGAGAAATTCATTAAGATATACATACCGGTGGCCTCTCTGGTGGCGCAAGGGGTTAAGATGCAACCTATGGATCGGTCCTCAGCTGCTGCAGCACGAGTTCGGTCCCCACCAGCATGGGAGCAACCCACATGGTGCAGCAGACCTCTCCTGTCTCTCCCACTGCTCCCCTCAGCAGTGTATTTCAGTCGGTCTGCCTGTTCTGTTTCCCACTCTGTCTCTGGTGAATCCTCTCACCCACTGCAACTATGGCCTGTAGCCCGCAGCTCTTGTATGCATAAATAAACAAATCTTTAAAAAATATATGTATACATTCTGGGAACTCTGAGGCCAGGCTAGGCTCAACTGGACCCTTATTTCCTAACCAGGTCTGGGAGGATAGAACCATGAACTTACAGTAACGTGTGAATTTTTGGTGATATTCAAAAGGTTTCCTGTTCTTTTTTTGCTGGGTTATGAAACTACACTATTGGCCCAAGATAGAAATTCTCTTAATTCTGAGGTTCCTTGTCAGACATTCATTTAAAAAAAAAATGTTTATTATCTGTTGAATGCCAAGTACTCATCTAGGTTGCCTGCTTTCGCAGAGACACTCAGAGGGGGGAATTCAATCAGTAAACACAGAAATGGTTATGACAGTCTGAAAGATATACATGTAATGAAGATGAAAAGCAATGGGCTAGAAAGTAATTGGGGTAAATTTACACAGGGATTGTTAGTGATGTCCCATGTGATGGAGACAGTGGTGTTGAGACTGGAATAAGAAGCAACTGGTGATGGTACAATCTATGTTAACATTTCATGCAGATGCCATGCTTGGTGTTGTTTTAATGGTTAGATGGACTAATGCTTCTATTCTTTGAGACATAGTAGTTTTCTCACACTGTTGTGATACTTTTCTAGCACATCCTGATTATTTTATTTTTAGGTGAGAATGCATTCCCCCCTGTACCACAAATTATGCAGTCAAGTTTCCCAGTGGGGAACTCACAGAGGTCAGCACATCTGGAAAGCCATGGATAAAGAGGATCAGCCTCACCCTAAGAAAACCATCTTTGTGATCATGGTACTTTCCTTGCCAGGTAAGTATCATTCTGACAATCTTTAAAATTTATTTGTATGCCAGTGCTGAGTACAGAGTTAATTCCATTATGGGCTCCTAAGCGTAATTGCTGATATATAATTTCTCAAATATCATTATGCCCCCAGGAACTGCCTGGCTGCAGTGATAGTCTAAGGCGGTAAGAGCTGCTGTAGTAGAAATCACAGGTTGTTTAGAGCCTGTCTAGCTCTATCTTGAAGACCAGGGAAGACTTTCTGAAATAAGAGAATTCTAAACAGAGACTTGAAGGACAGATTAGTTTCCCATGCAAAGGAGAAGGGAAAAGTCTTCTACACGGAGTACAGTGTACAAAGACTTACAGTGAAAGAGAATATGGTACATTTTGGGAACCTGCAATAGTCTGAATTTGACTGTAGCATATTATGCAAGAGATAAAGTGATGAACAAGAGGAGGCTATAGGCATAAACAGGAGCCAGTTACAGAGGGACTGATAAGCCTTGTTAAACTTGTAGGATTTTAGGCTGAAAGAAAAAACTGTTCATTCATTCACCCAACACATTTTTATTAAGCACCTCCTATGTGCCATGCACTGTGCTAGGCATTGGGGAGGCATCAGTGAGTGAACAATCAGACATTGCAGTCTACATTCTAGGGGAGGAAAAGGGCAGATAACAAATGTAAGACATTCTTAATCAAGTAAGATGCCAAGATTTTAGGATTTTTGTGCTTGATCCAGTATGGAAGCCATTTTTCAACAGGGAGCATTCAAGAGATCAGAGGTTAACAGTAAAGAATATATATATATATATATATATATATATATATATATACTCTCTCTCTCTCTCTCTCTCTCTATATATATATATATATATATATATATATATCAAGAGAGAGATGAGAGAGAGAGAGAGATAATGACACTTGATATTTTGGCATACCTTTCACTTTTCTGAGTGAAACTAAACTAACATTTCTCAGACACAAGGACTGACTTTTGTCCTCCACCTGTTCTGATCAGGAGTGTTTCATAATCCTGAATCTCAGGTTCTCAAGAGTAAATATAATTAAATAGAAAGAGACTGGTAGACTGGTAGCAACACTACTATTAATATCTTGAAGTTATTAGGAACTCAATGAAAGGATACTGTTTTGTGGAGATTCTTTTGTAATGCGCCTTTAAGCTTAAGACAGCAGCCTCCAAACTCTTTGCCATAGAACTTTTCAGAAATTGCACTGAATGTGGAGGATGTATGTTATTATAATACTTGCCAATTCAAGGGAACTTTTCATTTTCCAGTGTATTTGCCCTATAGTGATTAAGAGCTGGTCACAAATGTGAATGGAATTTAAGAAGTAAAGTTTTATAGTTAAGTAAATTTTTGATGATTATTGCTGTGGAGATAATGAAATTACATATAGTTTAAAAAGCAAACCAAAACCCTACACCCTACCAGTGGGGTACATTCTACTAAAGCACCACAGATTGCTCTAAAGATAAGTTCCAAATTACCATCAACTTCCTATTTTAGGAAAGAAGAAAGGGATCCAAGCTTAAGCTTCTGTTTCCTTAAAACGAAGTGTGATGTGGTTAGCAACGTGGCACTTTTGATTATGTGTTGTGCCCACACTAAGTCCCTGATATCCAGGAGACTATTATACTTTGGTCCTTTGTGAAGGAACCATTCCAGAAGCAAATTGTTGCTGATAGTAACTGACAGTGTGAATTACTACACACTCCGAGCCTGTGCCAGCACCACCGGTATGATGTCACTTTTGCTCAGATGGGAAGCTAAATCTGTATATGTGCTAGAACCAGCCTCCCAAATCTAGGGAACAGCAAGGTCTTTCAGCAGCTGTTTGAAAATAGCCAGCACCTTTGAAATGAATCACCGTGGCATCTCGTCAGCAAACCCTGATAAAACTGGAAAAAGATTTTTCTTTGTTGAGTTTCTGACCTTAATCATGTAAAGCCTTTTAGAAAAAGGAGAAACTGACTCATTTATTTATTTGTTATATGAAAACCAGATAAGTCAGTGAATGTGAAGGACAACATTAATTTCTCTTCAGCAAGCTGACCTGCCTCTAGGTCTGCCACTCGTTATGGTCCATTTGGAGACATTCTGCTGCTGATAATTGCCATGTGGGTTCATAATAACCTTTAGAAATGCTCCTCTAATTTGGAATGAATAAGAACACTGAAAGATGAACTATATTCCTCATTAGAAATGCTCAGTTGGGCTATAATATGGATGATGAGAAATGCCCCTAAAACTTAATTTATATTTGTGTATACCCATATAGCCAAGATGACTCAAATATGACTCAAATATGAGCAGGCTCATCCCAAATATACATGTCTGGAAAGAAGTCAGGAACTTCAAACAGTCTTCCAAAGGATGAAATCATAGACCCAATATCCACAATCCAAGATCAGTTAGGAGATTTCAACTTTTACTTCTGTCCATTACAAAGCCCTCCTCAATAGCACCAAAATTGTGTCGGGGGTAAACAAACACAGATCAATGTCTTTGCCCATTATTAGCAATATAATCTATTTCTGGGAAAACATGGGACCTTCTGAATCTCAAACTCTGTGTTCTTGGCAGATAAGACTTCTCCAAATCACTTTTAAGAAAGCATTTACTTTTAATTCTAAAGCATTTACTTTTAATTTTACATTTTAATTAATGATTTACATTAATAAGTTAGAATCTTAAAATAGTCTATTTCCTGTATTTATTTACCTTAGAAAGTACTCAGTTCTTCAGAAAAATAGTCCCTTTGAAAATAGATGCCATTAAAATAGAGGAAGAAGAGTCTTTCTTCAATATGTTTTCTCCTTTTTCTAGAAAGGATGATGGACAACAGTCCTCGCAAAATACTTTTTCAGGTTACCACTGTTCTAATGAGAAGAGATAAAAATGGGAGAACTTTTTTGTCAGGGACAGTGTGGGCTATTTGAGGCCAGCCTGAAGAGGAGGATTTTAGAGTGGACTTCTTGTCTGGGGAAAGGCAGGAGTGGAGATTGACAACCCCAGCTCGGTGACAGGAGATACGCAGTGGGATAATGAGCACTCACCTCTCAACTTCGATGTCCCACAGGCCTTTCTTATTCAGCAGCTTCAAAATTCAGTCACTGAAGTTTCTTGCTTCTCCTCTCGATTTCAATGAAAGTCCCATTTCCACCCTGCAAGTAGGCAGGGAAACCTGGACATCCCCGCTGACCCCTTTCTGTCCTTTGTTCACCGCTGCCAATTCATCACCAAGTCCTTTCCCTTGTAACTCATTCATCTCCCTCAAATTTTCTTCCATATTCCTCATTCTCTCAGTAAGTAGACGTTTGTCATCTCCCTTACAAGTAAGTCTCTTTTTTTATTTAATATATTTTATTTCATATAATTCTTACACAGTGGAATATTACTCAGCAATCAAAAAAGATAAACTCATGCAATTTGCAGCAACATGGATGGGGCTGGAAGGGATCATGCTCAGTGAAATAAGCCAAATAAGTCTCTTAATACCCCCAGTCCTGTTTCTCTAATCTGATCTCTACACTTTCCTAATCTGATCTCTACACTTTCTACTTCTGATCATCTCATTTTTTATTCCTTAAAGAGTTCTTCAGACCCTTCAAGACAAATTAAAATCTGAAGTCCCTCGGATGACAACTCAGTCAGCATCCTTTCGCCTACTCTTGCTTCTTCAGAAATTATAATTTCTGCCTTAAATGCACTTCCCTCCTTTCTTCTCCTGGATACCCCCCACTTGTCTTTCAAAAATTGATATCGTCCCCCCAAGGCAATCTTCCTCTGAACTTCTCCTTGCCCCCATCACAAAATGTTCCAAGTTAACTCTGACTGACCACTGTCCAGCATGCATATTGAGGGCAGGTACAGGTTTGAATTTTGTCAACTCAGCTTGTAGTATAGTACCTGACATATGGCAGGTAAGTGAATACAGGGAGTCATCAGAGAAAGTCACAGGGAGAAGGTGGAGCAGAATTGGTTCAATCTTGAGGGAGACACAGGATTAAGTAGAGAAGGATATTTGAGGCAGAAAGAATGATATGCACAGAAGCCTGAGCACTTGCCTTATTTAGTGAACTATAGGTGATTTAGAACAGCTGGAGCACAAAATGCACAATAAAGAATTTTGTGGTGTGAGCCATTTGTGACACATTTGTTATAAACTACAATGAGCTCCTTTCAAGGGCTGGAAAGGCTTCCTGATGCTTTTCTTGAGGCTACAGGTAGACTTAAGAATGAAGAAATGGCCAAGCAGAATTCTGCAAAGTAATATTCTCATATAATACAGTTTAATTCTATTATTTATAAGAAATGATAGATTATAGATCCTCTTATAATTCGTATACTTAGGAATATTTGTTCCTAGTAGATTACATTGTGAATAAATGTCTTTTAATATTGTTGCGCGTCTCTGGGATTCTATATAGCGTCTCCTTGGGAGGTAATGTTATTAGCAGGAACCCTGGGACCCTCAAACCTTGCACACTTTAAATGAGTTCTGCCATTTCCCACATAAACGCAAACCATATTCTTAGTGAGTAAGATCTTTAATCTTTAATAGAATTAGTGTGCAATAGTAAAAGAGAAGAAAGAATAGTTTCCAATTAAACACCCTAAGTTACCGATCTCCTCATGAGTAAATGTCAGACAAAGAGGGTTGGCCCAAGCAGGGTCATTGAGGCCCAAAAGCTTGCTACAAGTTTTAGGAAACTTCTAGTGGGGACTCATAAGAAAAAGGCAGAAGAGGCTAGGCAAATCTGAAAGGAAAGAGCAAAACCAAAGTACAGTAAAGATAAAGGCTGCCATTGTCAGTCTCTTCATGGGTGCCCACTGGAAGGTGCCTTAGACTTGTGGCAACATTTTGTGCCTCAGTGGCCCTGCTTTGGGCCAACTCTGTTTGTCTGGATATTTACCCATGAGGGCATGGGTAACTTTGGGTATTTCACTGGGAAATTATATCCTTCCTCTTATTTCTCTCTCTATTATACACTAATTCTATT